GCCCGGCAATTATTTGGTTGCAGTTGTCATTGTTGTTTGGCAGGCCCAGATGGATTCAAACCTGCCAGCTGTGGTATATGTGGCTGGCGCCTTAGCTGCTTGAGCTACAGGCACTGAGCCTTTATGAAGGAGTTTTATTTGTGCAAGAGCCTTGCAATATAGGAGGAATCTCTGTAATGCAGATAAGTCCAAAGCTGTGCCTATAACCATAAAACTGACAACTGATGAATTGAAGCCTAGAACTCAAATCTAATATCCTGTTCTTTTCTTTGCAATATTCATATTGTTTTACTGAGTATAGAATGAGAAAGATGGAAAATTTTTCTTAAGTGCTAAGATCTGACTCTTTCTTCCTATGGACCTATTTAGTCGCAACCAACTGTCAACATTGCCAGTACACTTGTGCAGTTTACCACTGAAAGTCCTAATTGCAAGTAATAACAAATTGGTCTCACTTCCTGAAGAAATTGGGCACCTCAGACATTTGATGGAACTTGTAAGTTAATATTTTATTTTTTATTGTCTCATATATATATTCAGTCATCATACTCTTTTATATAGTAAAGATCTATTGGTAAGATAGGTTTTTGAGCTATTATATTTTTCAGTAATGATAATCATTATCATTCAGTAAATTACTGAATGATAGTACTCTAGTGCTTTGGCACAAGATTAAGAAAAAAATTGAAAGTACAAGTCTAATAGGCCCACACTGAATGGGTAAAGGTCATTAGAGTTATGTTCTGACCAACATTAAGTGATTTCTATGTTATTAAGCTTTTGAGAAATTAAATTTTGTTAACATTTTGATTTTTGTTTAGCCTTTTTAGAGTAATGGGCAACATTCTATCTTTAGAACCTGTCTCCCACTCTTTATAAAGTAAAATTTACTATTGCTATATATTTCTAAGACACTTAATTAAACTCCTTCACCTGCCACTCCTCATAAATTATAAAAAAAAATCAACTCTTAAGCACTTATGTTCTGAACATGAGAATAATAGTTTTATCATTTAATTTCCACAATAATAGTATTATGAGTTGAGTGCTAAAATTATATTCATTTTATAGCTGAGAAAACTAGTACTCAGATAGGTTAAGTAATTTGATTAAGGTTATATAATAGAAATAGACCTTGAAACCAATCTACCTTAACTTCAAAGCCCATGTTTCATATTTCTAAAGTAGTCGAATACTATAAGTCCATTGAGATTTCAAAGTATAGTCCATGTAGGTTTAGTAACAAAGGTCATTATCATAAATAGAAAAATTAATATAT